ATATTTTTGGTGAACTCGGAGAGGGAAGAAGAGAGCAGAGAGGGGAGAAAACTCCAAAGGAAGAAGAAGTCCAGTAGTAGCAAAAGAGGAGTTGTATTTTCTGTAGTTTGTATGTATAGTTAATTAGATTTCATTCTTTGGAACCTATGTAGTTTAAGTCTATGAATGCATTCGGATGATTTTGTGTTTTGAAGTTAAAGCTTTCATCTACCTCTTGATTAAATTGGCCATTTGATTGATTGTGCACATAACTAAATGAATCCCGGAAGGGTAAACAAGGTTCAGAATCATTTAGCTTCAACTTATGACTTGGAGGTAACAGTCCAAGGTTCTAATTGAGATAGGAATATACTTGGTTAGCATAAGCATTCATATAAGGCTTGAAAACTTAATGACTTTATGACTTGATTAATCATTGAAAAATAGTTTAATTGAGTTCATAAAGATACCTCTAGGAAAAATCGGAAGTGACTTAGAGATATATAAGTGCCTGAATGAGCATGAATTCATACCAAAAGAGTGCAAGATTACAACTTGATTACATAGGGAAAAGAGAATGAATATCCAGTTTGTTGAGTCAGTCCCTTGAGTCGGAATTCTCACTCCCCTGAGTGAGGTTTCAATTGTTTTTGTTTGTTTTCAGTTCTGCAAAGCCACTTGTGTGAGTGACTTTACCACTCGTGCAAGTGAGTGATACTCTGCAACTATTGTGTTGGTTGTTTTCCGGTTATTTGAAGTTTAATCTGTCCCTATGGGATCGACCCGACTTATCCTATCTACAGTTTAAGTTGGTAATTTATTTTGGGGGTTTCGACAACCCACCAAGAAGGTTTTTAGAACAGTAATGAAAGAAGTTAAGATATCCGTGTATACATTGCCTCACAAGATTATTCAAATGGTTAGTTTATAAAAATCCACTGATCTATAAAATGAGTATTTTTAATTAATAAACCTTTTATTCTGAATATGCATTTTGTTTATTAATGTGATCGAATTTAGTGTCTATTTTTGAACTTTAATTAATGTTATTGAATTTTAAACTGTGTCTATAAAATGTATTACTAAAGATATAAGCTACCTATCAAACAATCACCTACATGTCATATTATAGATCTAAAATACTCATGAAAGTAGATAAAAGATGATACTCAGACATCAACCAACCTCTTCAAAAAAAAAAGGACATCAACCAAAATATTGAAAAAAATTTGTGGACACAAGAAGATATGCAAATGTGGTATAAAATATCTTTAGCGTCTATTTTTGCATGATGCAAGTATCAGTATATGGGGTGTATTTTTCTTTTCATCAATTGAAATGAAAGTATATAAAGATAATGATTTAAAAGTGAATGAAGGATAGTGATTAAAAAGTATATGAACTAAACAAAAAAAAAGATGGTTCAGTTAAGATACACGTTTCATTTAAATTGTATTCAGATTAACGTTGTATCTAAAAAGACGTCAACTAATCGTTATTTTTTTCATAAAGGTGCACAATCATTAAAAGATATTGTAAACTTATTAAATTAATAACGGTCTATGATTGCATAAAGGTGTACATATTACAAGAGTAATACTCTATAAATTCCAAAATAATTATTCAATTTCGATTTTCACTTTTATTACTAAATTGAACAATTATTTCAAGATAGATGTAATCATAGAATTCGACTCTCAATATACAATGTATCTCATTTTTAACTTCAATAAAAAATATACCTAATTTGGGTGGAAACTCATGGTATGTTGGGATTCTATGCTACGGTACTACAGTTTAGGGTGTTCTCTTTATTTACAAATATAACTTTAAAGTACCTATCCCAATGAATGGAAAGAAAAAAAAAACCCTATCTTAATGAATGATTAGAAATTAACTTTATTCATTTTTTTTAAGTTTGGAACATTATTATTCATATTCCAATTTCTTTTGCAATTGGATTATAAAAATTAAATACGAAAAATTAATATTTGAGTTTTTAAATTCGTCAAATGTCGTAAAATTATTAACTTATATCAATGTTGCCGGTCGAACACAAAAAAGAATTAATGAGGTGTCCGTGATTACACGGGATATATCTAGTTGTTACTATAGTTAGTTCTGTCACGTGCGTTGCATGGATTTTTTTTTAATATTGTCAAATATTATTAATGTTCGTTATCATTGATCATTTAATATAAGAGAATATTGTACTTTTTTCGTCTCAAAAAGATAATCTAATGGTGAAGGTTAAAACCTTTTTGCTGATTGGTTCAAGGAGGGGCTAGGCTCTAATGAAGCCCTTAAGAAAAGGAAGTGTCATGTATCGGGACTCAATTTTCCCAGTTTAATAGTTTAGAATTTATTTAAACCGAGTTTATGGATATTTTGGGGTGGGGGTCTCCTGTGCCATAAGCATGTGCCACTCCCTGTGACAATGAATCCTAAGTCAACACGTGTCCCTCTTCCTCATCCTTCCTTAAGCATAATCTCTTTAAATTTTAACGGAGAAATTTCCGTCTTCTGCAGAAAATTGCAAAGGAGAAAAGGAAAAGTATAAAAACAAAACAAAGGCAAAAAATCATAAAAAGGAACGCCTCTCTCTATTCTTTCATCTGGATTTATCGAATTGTTTTCTTAGAGAGACGAAGATTTCGTTAATCGATTGCTGAAGCAATGGTATTGATACGAATCAATTGAATGGGGGTGGGTTGAATGAACCCTTCTGTTCTTCTTCTCCTTTTTTCCTTCTTCGACTCCCTCTCCCGATCCAATTTGTTACTTTTGTGTTTTTGTTTTTTGTTTCAATGTGGGTTTCCGCAAGCAATTTTTGTTTTATGTTGTTTCAATGAGTAATTATTGAGGGAAATTCTAGAAACTGGGTTTTTGTTCCTGGTTTGGTTTCGATCGAATGGAAGGCCTGCTTCTTCAATATACTTCTTGGTGAAGAGATCGATGAGACTACTAAGGACAGTTTAGAAGCAAAAGAGAGTGGTGTAGATTGGACAGAAAATACATTCACCAGAAAGAAGTACGGACTTTTTTGCTGGTGAAGTGGGTGACCCAATAAAGACTAATGTTATGAGAAGCTCTGTGTAGGAGACTGATACTCTTGGAAATCAATATTTCTCAGAAATTTTTAAGACTTGTACTGTCCTGGAGGATGATTTAATATTTAAAGCCAAAAGCCAAAATAACCAAAGTTGCTGTTAAAGATTTCAATTCTGGATCATATGCAACCATTTTTGGCAACTAGATGACGGGAAAGGTAAAGCAGGTCCCTTTGGCGTTCTATAAATCCACTCCAAGACTGCTGTTATTGGAATTAGATTTTCCCGGCTGGAGTTTTGTGTCCGACGATGGGGAGTCCGTTTCCATCTATAGTGATTTAACAGGGAATCAGTGAGATTTTTTCAGTTAACTACTTATTTATTTACTTTACTCAGTTGACGGACGTTAACTTGACAGGAAGACTCAAAATTGTTAGAAGAAAAATTTGGACTGGTGTTAACTTCTAGTGAAGTGTCACAGGAAGTGGCACAAACTTGTGTCACAGGTGATCCTCACCCGATATTTTGATAATTGAATAGAATTCTAGAAAATTCATTCTTCCCCTATCGTTCCCTATTCCACCCTGAAGAGCCCTAGTTCTTCTATCAATTCAGTTCGATTCTTGGCTGAAAAACTAGGATTCTTAAGGAGATATAAGAATATTTTCTAAGCCACGTGCTTGTCAATTCAGTCTTATATTTCCTTAAGGGTCTATATAAGAGAGTCTTCTTCACATTTATTGCCTCACTTAATGTTATCTATTTTTCTTTCTAGTGGTATTTAAATAAGCACTTTCTTTTTAACTATATATCTGTAAATGATAGCAGTCTAGAAGATGAACCTAATTTTGTTAAAGGAATCATCATTGAGAAAGTACGAAAAAGATCTGCCTAAATGTGAAACTCAAAAGAGTGCGAAAAATTACAAATAAACGAGCAACTCAATCATAGAAGATACTATCTTATGAACTCTCACTAAGATAACAAACACAAATCCAAATAACTACCCGCATTGAGTAATCAAATCAACTATGATTAGACCAAACAATATAATCGAACAATCACCCATATAATGGATGATACATGCAATGAGAAAATCACTCACTCAAGTACAAACAAACCACTCGAATATAGTTCACTATATTGGATAGGACACATTCATAACCAAGGCAATAAGCAAACATAACACATTATTTATCATGCTATTTCCATGCAAACTCATCTATATCAAATAGATAAACCAACACGGTATCCTACAACCCTAGGACACAATAAACTCGAACTAACCAAGCAATCAAACATACTTAACCAATCGGCCATCATATCTAAAGATGATAAGAAAATTAGTTTTAAAACAGTTAAATCATGCAACACACTAAACATGATAAAACGGTTTACTCTAAGAATCAAGTCACATGTTAGGCTCTAAGAAAGAAAGAAAGAACTAACCATTCTTCTCCTTCAAAATAATAAGAAACGCTCATTGCTTAAGAAAACCCACAAAGGGCTCAAAACTCATAGTTTCGATTAATAACTCATTCGGCCACCTATTTATAGGCAAGCTGCTCTTGCTCTCCAAGACACAAACTCTAGAATTTAGGTTTTACTTTAGCCTAAAGAAACTCTACTTTCCTTGTACTACTCGATCCAATTCACAGAAGGAAAGACGTTATCAATTTTGACTCAAACTCTAACTAAACTTAACCATCAAACAAAGCAATTAACTATACTTCTTTTAATGGTAAAAGACTCAAATGCCTTTAATGAAATAAAAGGACCTCTCGGCCGCCCCCTATAGAAGTTACCTTAAGGGTAAACTTTTTATTTAACTCTAGGTAAATAGACTTATTATCTATTACGGACTCAATAATAATTTAAATAAATATATTTAAATACTTCCCGCACGTTTCTCCTCCCTTTTGTTTGGCGCGCGATGCTCCATTCAAAGCTTCATCTTCAATTTGATGTCTTCTACATACTTGAATGTGCATCTTCAATCTCTTCAAGGCGCTTGCTCTTTGGAATAAACTCACTTGCGTCAATCTCTTGGATATCACTTGAATCTCCATCACTTGAATCACTCCAATGGCTAGGGAAATCATTACTAGACTCCTCTGACACTTGTTGTTGATTAAGCAATTCTTCCTCAACCTCAATGTTCCCACTAGAAGGTGTTGTTGAAAATTCCTTCAAAAAAAGCCAACATCTCACAGCAAACTTTCTTCTATTCTTAAAAGGAAACAATCTCGGTCCATCAACTGACAAGAACACCTTTTGCTCCTTCATTTGATGTTGACTCCGATGTGAAGCCATATGATTCTCATCAGTAAACTTTTTTCTCTTTACCCCAAGACTAACTTGATTTTCGGATTGCTAATCCTTGTCTTGCAGTTCTTGACCTTAGGTTGACCATTGACTCGTATTGGGTGAAAATTACATTCATCAAGTGGTTTGCATTCTTTTTTTTTTCTTGATTGATCCAAAAGGTCTTAGAGTTCTGTTATGAGTCATGGTGTCTACCTAGACGAGACCTGGCCAAAGGGGTCTCAGGCGTCCAAGAAAGATCAGTTAGAGAGAGCAATTGCCAAACATCCTCGTACCAGAAAGGAGTGTTTAATGGCTCGTGTCTCCGGTGAGAGCTAGAATAGTCTTTGGAGAGAGTTATAATCAGTTCACGCCCCACGGTGATGAGCACCGGAGCGACAGCTGGATCGGTGATCCTATCATGAGGAATATTAGATAGAGTTTACCAGGATTCATCGAGAGGTTTGTGATCAGTTCCAATCTTTTAAGAGAAGTACCACCAAGAAGATTATGGTGACCACAAGCCTGACAGAAACTTACATTACTTGAGAAAGAAGAAGGTTGCTGGCGGAGAGAAGTCTGATCATGGCGGGAGGGCTATCCCTATCAACCTTGATCATACTACAAATACTACATCACGGCGGGAGGGCTAGCCCCAATTACCTCTGTTCCTCTCCTCTTGCCCTCTCTTAGATCTTCATCAAGCACAATCTTGAGGGGGTTCATTAAACAGACAAGATGCCGTTGATGAAGTAAATACTACTAAATAGAGACATGATTATAAATAATTGTTAATAAATATACTAGATAACATTACTTGTAAATAGGTGAGGTTCATACGTGTAAATACTAGACTCTTTAGTCAAGTTTTTTATCCAAATAATTTTTAATAGAAGGATCTGGACAAAAATATATGTCCCGAGTGGTGTGGACAAATCTAGTTGTCTCGGATTTGCCAAATCCGAATCTATCCATTTTGTACTAGATTCGGATTTGGCAAATCCGAATCTCCTTGTATTATAACTATGTGATGAATCAATTCTATTGGGTAGATTCGGATTTAGTACAAAATGGATAGATTCGGATTTGGCAAATCCGAGACAACTAGTTTTGTCCACAAAAAATAGAAAAAAATTATTTTCGTCCACATCTTTTTTTGAAAATTTTTTTGGCCGAAGCACCCCTCTTTAGTCGGCTAAAGAACACATTAATAAAGAGTCTAGTATTTATTAAATACGGATGAGATATGGAGTTGAACCATGTAATAAAGAGTCTAGTATTCAATGTCAATATCTCAAACCTTAGGAATCAGATCTTCTTCTTCTCGAATCATTACTTTCGTTTTCTGCTTGATTTATTAGATACGGATGAGATATAGAGTTGAACCATGTAATATCCACTGGAGAGGAGAAAAATGGGAAAAAAAAATTGGTGAGGTATGGTAGGAAATATATATAAGTGAGGGAGAAGAACAACTTCTAGAATTTATTTATTTTGTTAGCCCTATTTTGTTTATTTTAATATCTATTGTCAAAAAATATGTATATTTGTGGAAAAACCCCTACCAGGAAAGTTATCGAAAATAATCCTAACTCCATATGCAAAGTTTGCCGGAATATAGGGGTTTATGACATAAAACGTTATAAAAAGTTACATTAAACGTATGGGAATAAAATGTACATTTGTAAATGTACGAGATGAAAATGTGTTTTTTCCAAATACATAGGACATATTGTGAATTTCTTTGGCCTAAAAACCATTGTCCCCACCGATCACACTCAGACTACCTTCCAGGCTTTCACCCCAAATCCAACTCCGACACTTTGGACCACCGTCAAAATCCCATCATAGACTTCTCCGAACTTCATCATTCCGCCCTTGAAGCCTTTTCTAGTCCCTTTTTCGGCTTTGACTGACACCAACTTTTCTGTCGCCTAATCCCATTGTATATTTAGCTCAGTTTAGTCAGCAGTCATCACTTTTGGTTTTCAAATAATTGTGACTCAACTGTTAGTTTCATTCTTTTTGAGCCCATGTTCTTGTACTTATTGAAGACCCAATACCAATTCAGGATTGATTAGTCTGTTGGAACAAGGGAAGCATATTGATCTAATGGAGATTTCAAGAGGGCATATTAATTATCAGCAATCTCCCTCCTTTGCTGCATCTATGAGAGATGTCACTTACAGGTTCCAGCTCCAAACCCCTCCTCTTCACCCCTCTCCCACATTTTACTGGATTATGTCTTATTTCTTTTGTTTACCTCTGAACGATTGGGTGGGCGCATTGTAAAGTTTAGTTAGTTGTAATAGCGATTTTGCTTTTTATTGGTGAAATTCTATGTGGTTTGTCGGGTTCTCGTGTTTGACTAGTTACGATGTTTTAATAGCCGAAGCCTACAGATGGGCATCTTTTATCAGTATGTTAAGAACTATGGATTATGGAAGTTTTAATAGATGTGTCGCTTTGATCAAGTGATGGAAAAGGTTGTTCATAGTTTGGGGTTCATTTCCCTTTTGGACTTTTACTTTATGTTCAAGAGACTAACATCTTTGCTGACAAATAATTAATGGCATAAGTAAAGGGCTCTCAAATTTGGATAGTTTCTATGGCAAGATTAGAATGTAGTGGTTGAAGTTTATAAAATTTGGTCAGTGCCAAGATATCAAGATATCAGCCCCGCCGCTTTGAATTGACTTTTTTTGGTTGATTTTGAAACAGTTGAATGATTATTTAAAAACATGGCATTTCAATTTCTCTATAGAAGATTTGACTTTTGATGAAGGATCTGCTTAACTGACGCTTGTTCTTTCCCAATCTGTCATTCGTTAACTTACTGCCTATTTGAGTCTTTCATCATTTCACCGCTAGGGAATCAAGACCGTATTGTTAGGGAACGCTCTTGGGGAAGTTAGGTTCTTACAAAATAAACTGATTCCAGCCTCTTATTTTTCATATATATAAGTACTTGGTAAGTTTAGTTGGGTGCTGTTAGTGATTATTTGAAGGCTTCCCTTTTGGCTATCCTAAGTTTTGAAATAATGAGAATTGGGTTAGGATATACTGAAAGAAATTCCAATGATCTTAGGAGGAGGAAACCTTAATCGTAAATCTCCTAGCCATAGAAAAAATTTACAAAGTTGGTCAATAGAACCAAGTGGAAACCTGATCAAAGAGCAGGGCTTTTTGATTGAGGTTTCAATCCAGGGAAGAGTAACTTTTTTCCTTCTCTGTTGTACATATAAAGATATTCACATCTGGGCCATGGAGGCATATCATTAGTTTCCACTTTAATAAAGGAATTTTGTTTTGAGTTGCTGTATTCCAGAAGTTATTGCCATTGCTGCAGTACCCTCATCTGCATAAGGACCTTGCTAAAACTCTTACCATTTTGAAACATTAATTTGTTGAGAGGCTTGATGGTCTTGGGGCTCTATTTAATTAATATTAATTTTGTGTTTCACTGCTATCAAGTTCTAGTGTTGGATTTTAATTTTTTTTTTTTTTTTGTGAGAAAATAAGAGATAAGTTGCAGGTACTGAATCAATAAATTAAAAAGACTACAGAAAAAATCAGGTTCACGGCTGCATTTTAGGAGCTGATTAGCTGACTTTAGTAATGTCTTCACAGTAGGATCTTTATTATTATGTAAAGAGTCAACCCTTGGGAAATATTTATGTGGTTTTGTCATACCAAGTCTGCATTTTTGTTGTTTAAAAAGATTAGATATGGAAGATTTAAGTCAATCTACATAAGCTCAAATACCCTGGTAGCATCATTAGAAAGCTGGACTTATGCATCCATTTTCTTGATTTGATCTCAAGAGATTGAGAGCAAGTAATCCTTCTTAAGTGTTCATTAACTAACAGACAGGAATTTAAAAGTTTGTAGAACATTATGATAGAGTTAGAGTACCTGTTGCATTTACTGCCCCATGTTCCCATGTTCTTATTAGTCCTTATTTTCAGCAACAGTTTAGGTTGATGCAGTTACTTATTTAGTTGGGTATAAATAAGAGTTCTAGGATTCTATTTCAGGGGGAAGAGAATTCAGAAATTAGTTTTGTGACAGGAATCTTGTCCTCTCCATACGGACTTATTTATTGAAGTGTACTCTTGAGATCCTGCACTATATTTTCAATAGATACTATCCATTTCATCTTTGTCCATAGCCCTTTCTATCACATGGTGATTCAGTTAGTATGGATGGAGCCACTATGGAATGGTATTGACGTTGTTTAGTGCAAAATAGTTGTTGATTTGCTTCATACATGCCAGAAGTCTATATATGTTCTTTACCTAAAGCAGCAAACAAAAATCTGTTATAGAAGTTCCATGCAGTGGTTATTTCAGTTGTTCATTTCACACATGAGTTGAGAAAGAAATATATGCCTGACTACTTGTTTGGTTGCATGAGCATTTTGATACATCTAGCTGAGAGAGTTTTCTATAGTTTTGATGTACACTGAAGAATTGTTTTTGTACTTAAATGAGTTGGAGTCAATCAAAAAGGAAATTTGTCTTTGGAAGGGAATCCAATAAATGATGAAATAAGTCATATCGGGTCCTAATTTAATAAAATCAAAGAAGACCTTTAAACATTGAAAAGTTTGAAGACCAATGGGTGCCAAAGAATCAGAATTTTTTACCATGAATTGTCCCATTCAGCTGGAAATTCACCACGTATGGATTTTGTTTCCTCTATTTCTTCATCTAACTAGAATGGTTGTCGTTCCTTGTGCACTACTTACATCTACCTGGATTAACTGCAACAATGGTCAAAAGTAAGCTTTCATTCTTGTTACCTGCTGATTATTTCCAACCCAACTGCCTTGTGCCTCTAGCATTCCCCTCCAATAATCTATTTCCCATCAAATTAATGAAGCTTTATTTGCAAAAGAACTTAGAAGAATTTTATCAGGTATCTTTCTGGAGAGCAGTTGTGTTTTTAACTCAGCACCTTTTCCCTTTTTTGGTATACGTAGAAAGGAATGATTTATTACTTGTTGCTATAATGAAAAAGCTGCTGGTGCTAGCAATGAGCTGTAGTAAAAATTGATGCGTGTTTCAGTACAATTCTTGGTTTCAGGAATGTTTAATTCTTTTTTGAAGATGGGATGTTTAATTCTAGATTTAGAATCTTATTGTGGTGGAATTTCAGTATATTGTCAAACCTTTCAGAAAAGAATCATGATGAAGCCTCTTGTGGTAGAGATGTTTCTGGAATCCTCAAATTTTAACTAGAATTAAATGTGTGTTTTCCACCCTTTTCTTTGGACATCAGAGTGCTTAAACTAGGCTAGATGAATGTGTGTAAGTAAATGTGGATTATTTTTTAGGTAACATATGCTTTTCATTATTCGCTATGGACATTAGACTGCTCTAAGGAAAATCCTTTTTTTGCCTTTATGCTTCTCCTTTTCATGATATGCAGTTATGCACAACAAATGGAAGGTTTGTGACTGGGTGATCAATTTAAATACAGACAATTGAAATCAACCTGCAGTTTTCTAGCAATTCCTAATGGCTCTTACCTTACTCCTAAAATGATTTCTGATTTCCGATATTTACGTTGTGTCAATTTCTTGCCGATGGGCTCAACATATGTCAACAGACTCATGAGACTATTTGTGATGCAGTTGTGGCTCTTGTGGATACGAGTTGAACTTGAGCTCGTCCAGTCGCAATACTGCCACAATTGGTTCAAAGTACGGGAAATCCATAAAAAAAGGTATAATCTCATTCTTCTACATTGACGAAACGAGATTCAATCAGGTGGAAGAGTTCAAATGTGTGCCCTACTTTATTTCCGAGCACTCTTTTGGTTTGTTCCGCCGGAGAACAAAACTGTTGTGCCGCAATTGCGGTAAACATATCGGAAATGCTTATGATGATAGAGCCGCTGCGTATCCTCTTGTGCCAAATGAATCGGATTTTTCTTCCAGTAGTGAAAGCTCTACCGTGAGAAAGTACGATATCAGTATCCGCTGTTTGCAACCATCCTCAGTTCAAGCTTGCACTCCCCCCAATTCATGATGTCTATGCCCTTCATGGGTATTTTTTGTGTACATCTGTACAGTGGGATAACATCCTCCAAAATTTCAGTTCTACACATAATGCTTGTGAAGATTATTGACTTTTCTTTTTTTTTTTTTAATTTTTTTATTATAGGGTTTTCTTTTTTAATTAATGCTCAGCAAAAGGAAGTAATGGAGATATGGAGTTTGAGACTGTGAAAATGGTTTCTTTAGTTTTTCTTTTCCCCCAAGTTTAAAACTTTCGAAGTTATTGAATATTTTGTACACTATAAAAGACAATATCATTTTTTGTGTAGATGATTCACTGTTTCCCCCTTGTAATTTTCTCATTAATCCATTCGGCTAATAAAAGTAACTTTCCTTCCCTGCATTTTTTTTTTTGGTATACGTAATTGTGATGTATTTACATCCATTATTTACCGAGACAGGTTCTGTTTTATCCTATGATAATTGTCGTAGTACTGAGATAGTGACGAGTTGTTTTCCTAGGTTCAGAGTAGGAGACACATAGCTTAAAATGCTAAATTAACACATTTCACAAATAAGATGACTATGGTAAATAAAATTAGGATGTGTAAGAAGTTGTGTGTTAAAAAGAAATGAAATTTTGAAGCAATTGAGAAACAACAAAGATTCCTTCGTTTGTGTCATGAATACGGATGGAATATACATTTGTTGTGCTCTTCTGAAAAAACTTATACATTGAAGTGTACAATGCAAGTAATGAATCTTCAAAGAGATAACGTACTACAAACTAATAATAATTCATGCATTCCTGCATGGCAAAGTAAGAGCTATCCCAACGTAAGCAACCAATTAACTCAACGAAAGAGGCAACAAAATTGGAATATTTTCCATTCAAGAAAGTTTTTCCTTTTTTAAAAAATGAATATTAATGGTTTTCTCAACTTATATAAAGCTAGATGAAGGGCAGACATATTACATATCTGAAGATCATTTCCCTTGTGTAAAGACAAAAATCATAAGAACAATTTATAATTTTGGCGTTTTTTATTTCTCCTGATCTTACGTACCATATATGGCAATGAGACCAGTCGGAAGGGGCGGCCGGCGGACGGCGGCAACTCCTAGTCGTCAAGGATTCGGTGGTGGCGTCCAGGCGGTGTATGAAGATTTCAGACCTATGTCAGAATGGCAGCAAGATAAAGAATCGGATATTCTACTTATTTATCTTCCAGGTTTCTCATTTGATATACATTTCAATTTTGCTTTTTTTTTTTTATTTACTTCTTTTCTAAGACAAATGAAGCATATCCATTTATGATTAAACATTTTTATTATGTGTGTCAAAAACAATATATACAAATAAAAAATCATCTCCATAGATTAGTGTTAACGAACAATAACACATACAAATTCATCTCCACTCTCACGATATTTTATTGATTGTTATTGTAGTTGTGATATAGCCATCTTCCAAAATAACTGTCTGTTTGTTTGCTTTTTTTTTAATAGTTTTTTCAATATATTTTATTAATAACTGTCCCATCTCAGCACACCTTTTTACATTTCCATCACAACTTTTTACATTCCCAATACAAAAAACACTTAAAAAAGCCACTAAAAAAACGAACCAAACATATTTTGAATAATACGAGGATTGGTCATTTAACACAGTCGAAGAGAAATAAAAAATTTCTCGCAGTATCTCTAGTTTTGGTCCATCATTTTAATTTTTTTTTTTTTTTTTGTGAATTTTCCAAAGGCTTTCAGAAACAGAACCTAAAGGTCTCAACTGAAGGACAGAACATAGTGAGGGCAAGAGGAGATAGACTGGATGCTGGGAACAAATGGAGTCGATTTCTGGAAGATTATAAAGTTCCAGAAAGATGTGATATTAGGGCAGTTCGTGCCCGATTTGAAGGCGGAATTCTCACTATTACCCTGCCATGGAAGAAAGAATATCAGCATCATCATCAAACTCATCAAGAAGCACCCCCAATTCCTCCTCCTCCTTCCACGGAACAAGTTGCTCCAAAGAAAACAACTGCACCATCACCGGCAGGCCCTGTTGCTCCAAAAACCGAATCGACGACACCGGCCATTGTCATCAAGCCTCCAAAAGCAATAGATGACAAATTTGAGGATGCTCCGGAAGGACCAGATCAACCAAAGAAGTCTGTACCCCAAAAGGGTTTCAATGATAAGCCTTCTGAAGTACTCAGTCCACTACCATTACCAGCTTTTGGTGGTTCTTCCGGGAAACAGCAAAAAGAAAACATGCTTAAAAACGTTCAGCCTTATGATCCTCTTTTTAAAAAGGGAGAAGATCATGAACAACAAAAGAAGCAGGCTCTAAGTACTGATCCACCATTACAGGAGCCAGCTGCTGCCTTACCATCGACAAAAGAAAGTTACTGGAAATCTGAAAATCTGAAGAGATCTAAAGAAGAAGAAGAAAAATCTGCAGCTGACGACAACATGGAATCGGCTAGTAGAAAGAAGAGGAAGGAAGGAGTTGTCGATGGTGGAGCTGAAAGAGTCGCCCAGGGACCGGAAAAGCAAGTAATGATGAGTCCACCAGTGGCTACTAATCGGCTGAGGAACTATAAGGAAGCAGTGAGAAGTTTTGCCGAGCTAAATGAAGAACGACAGTTACTGGTAAATGTTGGAGCAGCTGTGCTGGTTATTGTAGCACTTGGGACATACATCATCACATCCACAGTTGCATCAGGGGAACCCAACTAGATTGGGGTTTTATGTTAAATGTAAATTCACACAGAAAACGGAATAATTGTGCATGGATTCTCTATCAATATTATATCCTGCAAATTGTGTACACAAAGCATGTGATAACTTACTGGACTTCTGTTGTTTATGCGCGAGGGGGTTTACCAAACTAGCCTCAACTAATCTCTCCTTGTATTGATACTGCACTTCCATACCAAACAGACTTTCAGACAAGCAGATGGATACTACAACCCCAAAGCAGAAAATCTCTCCGATCTCATGACAGACTCCGCACATTGACACATACAGAGCTTCAATTGACAGTTGATCTTTCAAGATAAATTGGGGAAAGAAAGGGACCAAAAATCCAGCAAATAAGATAACCTTAAGCAAATTTAATCATGTTTATAACTTATAAGAGACTATACTGATCCTCCAATGTACTGCCACTTTGGAAATCAAGAAACTATGGAAACTAAAAATTTGCCCGCCCAAGCGGGATGATGACACACACAGATCTACAAATGGTCTAAATGTTTTACCGCTCTACAGGTTATCTGCCCCTCATTTCCAGAAAAAACGCGGAGCAGAAACATTTAACTCTGGATGATGATGTAAAATGTACTTTCAACTTGGGGATTGCCTTTCCCTTTCATTATGTTCTTCTGGATTTCCTTGAGGTGCTCCACCCGATAACATCTCCCTGACAGACCTCAGTGCTCCAGATAATGCCCCAGATAAATCTGCAGGCATTTCATCAACAAAATCTAGATTCACATCTCCATCTATCCTGATTTCCGGATTATTTGGCATATTGGTGGGTACGGATTCTGGTCCCCCAGTTTGGAAGCTTTGCCCCTGGGACACATTTGAAGCCATATTCCTAAACATGCTGCCTATATCAACAGATGCCCCTTCTTGCCCACTTTGAAAATTTTGTCCTTGGGGCACACTCGAAGCCATATTCCTAAGCATATTAGCTAGGTCAACGGGAATAGTTGGTATCTGAAAGTTAAATTGAGGGGGCACCGAATGACTTCTCGATCTGGCAGACTGCTGACTTGTTGAAGTAGAACCCTGTATATGGTATAAATTGGAATATTAAACAAAAATAATAATAATTATCATAATTACACTTACAATAAACCAACATTCATATAATCCAACAAAATACAGCTTCATAGGACATAGCAACCACCAAACAAATCTGCTATATGCTCATGTATGAAACATCTATAAGCTCCATTAACAAGATGTCAAAGATTAGCTCCTACTTAACAAGATCATCAAACAAACTATTTACTTCAACTTGATACCAGGCAATAATTGCTCACATTTATGAAATAAATGCAGCATAATGGTTGACGGTTTGAGAATGGAAATGGCAGAAAAATTCAAGAAACTATTGATTGGTATGGCTCTTGACTATGGAAAACTGGAAATTGAAAATGCTGCTTAGGTTTCTTCATTTGGTTGAAATACTATCCTATACAAATTTGTCCTGTTCCTCCCTTTTTTCTCTCCCAAAATATCTCTCTTCCTCTCTTATTCCGATTTTTCTCTCTTCTAAAGGTCTATATTTGTAACTTTCCTCCCCTGGGATTGTCTCTGTTTACCCTCTCTCACCAAATTCCTCCATACTTAACTCCATTGTTACCTCATCCTTAACCCTTCATATTCTCTACTTACTTTCTTTACCTTCGCTCAATCACACTGCTGTGTCCTTTCTCAATTTTTATCAGGTCACAAAATACACACAATTCCCCTCGTAAAAGGCATCACTGGAGCCAGACATACCAAGATGGTTATACAAAAGCTCAGGTAAATTTTCTATCAAATCAGCTTACTCAGAACTTCAATATCTTGATGAACAGGTTAATAGGGATAGGAGAAGATATGGAAATGGAAAGGAGCCCAGAAGCAAGAAAAACCATTTGTCTGGTTGGTTCTGCATGGTCGTGTCACAACAAACAAGCTATTCTGAAAGCTTTGGAGCAACATCTCTGAATTATTTTGTTGCTGCTGAGACTACAGCCCATGTACTCAGAGATTGCAGAGAAGAAAGGAATATCTGGAATCTCCTTATTCAGAATAGTTAACGATGTAACTTCTTTCATCAGCAATTAAAGGAATGGATCACCTAAAACTTGGTGCACAATGACCCAGGATGGAGCTATCTTTTGGTAGTGACATGCTGGTCACTCGGACATGGAGGAACGACAGAGTATTCAAGGAAATCGAACATGGAGGAACGACAGATTATTCAAGCAAATTATAATGAACCCAACTGCTGTCATATGCACAGTGCAGCACAGAGCAGAGGCGGTTAGAAGAAGCCAGGTTCTTCTCAAATGAAAGAATCCAAGGAAACACAGAAATGAGTTCTCAGCTTGGAGTTCAGTCACTGCACTGATCTCAACCACGGGTGAAGTTCAATTGATGCAGCAGTCAATGAAGAAAACAAGAATACTGCTGCTGGAGGATTTCCTCAGCGATAGTATAGGGGAGTTTCATTAGCTTTCAATGAGTTCTTTGGGAAATCCTCAACAGAACCAGTAGAATTCAAAAGAAGCAAGAATATGTATTAATTAATGTGGAGTCAGATTTGCATCAAGCAATCCTTTTGGCTCAATAAACAATAAAACATTATCGGATTCCAGGCTATCATAGGATCAGAGAAGACAACGGACTACCTTAGGAAACTAGGACTAGATAAGGGATTACAATTTATTCTGTAATCCCAAGCCACATATCAGTATTAGTGGAGGTTGAAGCAATAGGCACGCAGTTTGGGTAGGGTTTTGACATGTCTTACTTTCATTATTAACAAAAGAACAAAAACAATAAAACAAAACAACGAAACAATAGAGAATGAATGAGTATAAGAGAAAATAATACTTGATTTTGCCCTGTCCTTTGTTGCTGAGCTCTCAATCTTGCCTCTGCGGCCTATATTCAGGTTCGACATGGTCAAATCAGAAATCTAAAGACATGATAAAGTAGAAACATCTATTAATTGAAAACATTAATACACGAAACCAAGTTGGCAGCACAAACTAACCCGAATATTCTCTTTCACGGAAGTATTATTAGGATCCAGCCTCAAAGCTGCATGAATATTTTCTATTAATAAGTAATAATTATTAGATATTAAGGAAAAATATTCTCTAAAGTATAAAATTGAGTATTTCAACAAGAGTCTGGAATGGACAACATGCACAGTTAGATCAAACAAATTTCATTTACATTGCCGAACCTACAACTAACACACAATGGATGGAAGGAAAAAAAAAAACAACCTAGTAGCTTTTATTCTCTTGCTAAGCTTCAAATGTCTCAGGTCATAGACGGTTTATGACATCTAGAAAGCAGCAGCAAATAAGTAAAAGAACCCTCACAGTATTTAAAAATTACTTTGAATACTAATCCCCTCCAGTCAAAGTTCACAAACATCCATCATTCACTAAAATCACATTGTAAAGTTCCACACCTTCTAAAAAGCGTAACTAGCTAGGTTTTAAATTGATTAACTCGCATCTTAAACTTAGATATCATGGAGGTTTGATAGCATAAAAGAGTTTCTAACTTATATTATATAGGCAACCTAAACTGATAAAAAAGCCAATTTGAAAGTCTCTCAGATCTCAATGCCTCACTAATTCCCCGCTATTTTGCAGTTATCAAGTTCTTGTTACCTAAAGATCGGGCTCTATTGCGCCAGAACATTTCTTGAAGTAAATTTTGGTAAATTTATACGAGTTATAGCTCAGCAGATAGGATCTCATCATAGGTCTATTCACAAGGAACCCTCTTGATGTCCCTTGTTATCCTGTTTTCTGAGGAACCTTCATCTATAAGACTAATCCTGTTTTGAAAGACATCACCAAACTCTAACCACTTGACTGAAATTAAGGTTCCATTGAACATGATCCCTCCTTTGAATACAAGAAGGCACAGCAACAATAACAAGAAAACATGAAAGCTGAATCCTAAAATTCGGTTTAGGGATGCTAAATTGTTTGAATGTAACAGCATCTAATATGCAGCAAAGGGAATGCTTTTCCAAAATTTAGTCAGGATATAAATTCAGAATATTATAACTATAACTAATGCTATTAGTAAATGCATCTGGGGCGACGTTTCTTGCTTAAGTGCATCCATAACAATGAAGTTTCTTGTTATATAGTGCTTCTAATACTACGAAAAAATGGCTTTCCCTAATGTTGCATCCTTAAAGTTCTTTTACGTACAAACAACTTTCTTCTATATATTACGGCTTAAAAGAGTTTAATGTAAAACTTGGAAACCAGAAGAGCTAAAATGGAATTCATTCGACGTTCTGCATAAATTATAAAATCCTCATCAATGTGCCAGTCTACAAGTTAATGTCTTTTCTCCAGGGGCATTGTCCTATAAGGTATATGACTTCATCAAACATCTTTTTGATGAAAATTTGTACCATATATAGGAATTAACAAAAAAAAAAAAAAACACACAAAAAAACCAAAAAATAAGAAGAAAAACAATAAATGAATGGGAAAGAAACCAATACAGTAATGTTCGGAATCCAATGCCTCTAACAAGCTTAGTCAGAAGGAATGAAACAGCTGAAGATTAGTTAGAAAATAACCTTTAATAAATCCTTCATCAATAGCATCCCTGTACCTCCCTTGAGCATAATAAACAAATCCTAGGCGACTGTAAGCTTTGCTATAGTTTGGGTCAATTTCAATGGATTTCAGACAATCTCTCATAGCTTGTTGATAGCATGCGATCTGGGTATAAGCAGCAGCCCTGATAAAGTAACAAGTTTACTGACATTGTTGACCCCACAAAAAAAAACAGTAATATTCGAAACTCAGAACCTCTTTCCATAATTAGGTGTCCAGAGAAAACAAAAAGAGAACGGAAACCTTAACCAGTTCCTTTACTTGCATAAGTAACTGTCGTTCAACACAAATCTTCAAAAGTATATATCTAAAAATAATATATACTAATACGAACATTATCTGGAATATACAAGAAAGACATGGAAAAATGTTTAGCCAAATGTCTTAAAGGAATTACAGAAGAATTGCTGTGTTCAGATCTATGTATTGCATCATCCAAACGTCTGAAAGCATCTATGTTTGTCAGTTGAATTTCAAGCTATCTCGTCACCGTAAAAATGTCAGATAATCCTATATAGAGCTTACAGTTTCAATGGGTAATAAGCACAAAAGAGTTCAGCAAAATGCAATGAGCTCATCTTCTAAGATAGATTCCCCAGAAATACTCAATCCACCCTCATAAAAACTATAAATTTTAAACATTTTATTCAGATGCACTAAAAGTGGATTGGCTGACCTATTGCAGTAGTAAACAGCATTGTCCTCGCATAGTGCTATGGCAAAAGTATACAGCTCTATAGCATCATGGTAAAGTTTTATCTGCATGGTCTTGTTACCTAGAAAAATTATTTACGTCAAGACTAATTCAGGCAAAGATGATAGGAAATGGCTGAAAACATCTATCAGCATCAAAACAAGATAATAGCAAACAAAAAAAATTATAATCAAAATGAAAATTTACCGTGGAAAATGTAGCAAAATGACCAAGTTTCAAAATACAAGCAAGTGGACCACAAAACTTCAGATGTATTAATACCTTGAACTTTCAAAGTGTCTGCTAAGTTTCTTCGATCAAATGTCTCACATCCAGATCTTTGCATTTCCTGTAACAAAATTTCCTTTATATCTCATCAACCAAAGCTTAGGAAGAAAGAAAGAAAACACTTTGACTTGATGGCAAAAAAAAAAGAATGTGTATAATTAAAGAGGGAATTCTTATTAACTTAATAGAACCTAGAGGTAAGAGGAAGGGATGCATCCACAAGGTAAGAGAACTAGTTCCCCAGATTTCTGTTGATAATCCAATATGCATTGTGTAAAATCGTAGACACAATGTAAAAGAAAATGAAGGCACCCAAAATTTTTATGCCTTGGCACATAACCAAAGAAAAATCGTAAACAATGAATAAAAAGTTGATTTCATAGGATACTCCTGTTTCATATGTTCTACATTTCTCCCAATATATGTTGCATTGAAACCAGAAAAGTTAACTACAAAGAAATCATGCTTTGCAATGGATAAAGCAAGCCACAAAAAAAAAAAAAAAAAAAATTCTTTTATCCTGAGCAAGGAACTGTCATCGTCCCTATTTCCACCCTGCTCTCTTCCAGCAGAGATAGAAAACCTACAAGCAAAAACTCCATAAAAATCTTTCATTTATTGTGTTTCCAATTCATAGTTTTAGAGAGCTTGTAAACTGGAGTCGCTAAAGCCATGGGTGTTTTCATTCTTTTGGGGGAAGTATATTGTGCAAGGGAACATTTTTTGAAGGGAACATATTTTGGGGAAATTGCCTGAGATAATACAGGCCAAATTATGGAGAGAATCAGCTGTGTTTTTTAATAAAAAAAAAATCAATTTCACTTGACATACAAAATTGATTAGTTTTGGGCAATATAGAAGTTGATTAATAAAAAATCAACCCTAAAATGATAAATTATGGTTAATAATAAGAAACGATAAATCAAAGCGAATATAAAGAAATAATGACTAGTCAAACAGGACAGAAGCAAAGATATTGAGTTTACCAACGGGACAGGGAAGAGTTGTTTAGTTCAGAATAAATGTGCTTGAATCATTAACATTCTGTATAAAGTCTCGGTGAAAAAGTATACAAGCACGAGTGAATTCTGGCGGGACGAGAAAACCTGATTATCAACTTAAGAGACGGTGCTAAAAAATTATGGACTTCAGCACGAACTTCAGCAGAATGACATTAAGAAGTCATGTTATAAGAAGATAGAAATGAGATCAAATATAATATGAAGCTTCATCCAAAAAAGCAAATCGTTGAAACCCGTCCTCTACTTTTGTGCCTATCACATCAATGACACTGATGTACGACATGCTGCAACGTCGTTTACATATCATCAGCCATAGCTCAGTTTTCTAGGAAATCCAGACAACCACTTACCTCCAATGCTTTGTAGAAAATATGTGTAGCTCTGTCCATCCGAGCCTGATCATCATTCCCATCAGGCATACTAAAATAGTGGATTTTCTCCAGGGCACCAAAATATTGGCCAAAAAGCTCATCCTTCGATGTTCCTGGTAAAACATCACAAACTTAGAATTCCGACGAGCTAACCTTAGAATCATACGTAAAGAAGGGATGTTAACAGCATATATTATCCCAGGAAACAATTTAACTTCAGAAGAAATTTACTCTACGCATGCATGCAAATTCTCAACTTACCCAGTATGCTCCAACTACGTGGGGGTCTGGGGGATCAAGTGCACACAAATATTTTTATCTTTGTTCGAGGAGGAATCAAAACAGGTTATAAAACCAAATGAACCATAGGAAGAGTAGAGACTCATTTGTGAAAACTTATTCTCATCAGCTCCCATATAATAATGATTACATAAAAACCGTCATTAACATATTTCATCAGAGCTTGTTTAAAAGCCATCAGTTATGTTTATACGAGAAATTTTAGAGGTCACAACCACAAAGCACCGAACACACTGGAGGAGATCTTTACTCCCCATAATCCATACTAAAGAAAGAACAAAAAGGAAAAAGCATGGGCGGAGAGATGCAACGTCCAACAAAGAGATTTTCCATTTGTACATTGAGCCCTTCTAACCACACAAGTCAATTGATTTTATCAAGCCAGTTCCGCATGAAATCATTAATTCCAGTATGACCCCATTTCCAAACTAGGCAATTTTACAGCTGACATAGTGCTGGTCGATCATTTCGTTTTAGGAAGATTCAAAGCATCAATGATTATTACTATAATTAATTGATTTTGATCATGCAAATCTTAGTTTTTTAAGAGGTTGTTTGTACGATACTCTCCACCCCGTGTTCACATCCATACTTGGACACATTACAACTTGTTTTTGCCAAGAGACAACACAAAAAATAAGCTGTTTATCATTGATTTACGTACGATTCATGCATCTACATCTCAATCTCAAACTACATACAATTATGTTTCTGGAAAAACTTTGAAGCCAAGAGTACTGAAATTAAATAAGCAATACAGCAAAATCTCCTTTCGAGTAAAAAAAAAAAAAACCCGAAAGTGCTTAGAAACAGGACTATTAAATATCTGACTAAGGTACAACATATGATGTAGTATTTTGATACGTCATTACTAGTGTATCCATCCCATCAATAATCCTACAATCTTTTCACCTTTTCCTCCAATCTTATACTCCATTTCTACTCTGTAATAGCCCAAGCGAACTTAATTCTTTTTCTGGTGAGATAATGAGCTCAAAATCTTAGGCATAAGTTCCAAGGATAGTATTTGGATGTCTTAGATCGTTTGTTCATTTCAAATCTCAACCTAATTAAAGTATCACAATTAATCGAGTTTTCCACTTTGGAACAAATCAACCCCTTAAGAATCTTTGTATATCCCTTCAAGACATGCACATGCGCCAAAGGAAACAAGTTGAATGAACACTTTTCTTTAAAGTTCCAAACACAAAAACACATACACTACGGAAAAGTCAGGTTGATCATAATCAAAGTTATGGTGCACAATGGAGTAGGTTAATGTAATAAGAATCAAATAGTTAAAAAGTTGATTAAACTGCAGAAGGAAATTTTCAATTATGAGCACTTTAATAAGAAATGACATGCTATTATAATACTGCAAACACCTATGAAGAGACTAATTCTAGGTGACTATCGATTGTGACAGCCATTTATGGAATCGCAAAAACATTTAAAAAGGATATCATTAATAAAGTTACTCATCGATGTAGACTTCTATAGCATAAACTTAATGAAGACCTCTTCTCTAATGTTGGTAACATCTGTTCGAGCATAAAGAATTTAAAACTCGTGCAAGTCACAATTTTGTCACACCAACAGGAGCTCTAATGGTAAATTAATTACAGAAAAACATGCAGTTTTACACTACTGCATTTTACTCATATTGAAATATGCAGAAAGAGCCACTTGAGAGATCCTTTCCAACATACAGTCATCAAGTCAATCAATAAATAACGGCCAAAAAAGGTTCCGGTATCCATACCATATCACATCATTCAGAAACATGCAATGCCATTTAGACTTTAGTAATTAGTATCCAGATTACTTAAGAATTAAATGCACAGTACAAGCAAAAGAAGAGGTACTTTAAAGCAGCAATCAATCTTAAAGTAGAAAAAAATTGGTCCTTACCAAAGGAATGATCCGGCCCAGAGCTACCATCAACCTGATTAAAAACAAAAAATTAATGAGAAAAGAAAAACAATAACAATAAATCCCTTATAACCAACTTTATGGCTTCAAGAAATTTATTTCAAGAACTTTGCATGAAAACATAATATACTCCTATCCCCGAAAAATGGGAGTCCAGTCTATACACTAGTACATGACTCGCAAAGAAAGACCAGCTTCACTTTTTTTCCATTTCAGCCCTTACTTATACCATTCTATATGCTTCACAACCAAAAATAGAAGAGGTATAAGTAGCGGGAATAAATGTTGGAAATCCATACTTTATGTTTCGTACTCTCAAATGCATAACAAGTAGCACCAACTCTGCTGTATGAATTAGATACATATCTCATCATTGTGTTTTTGTCAAAACACTTGTCCCACTTAGGTTTATGTAATCAATTTAGTTAGCCACTTTGAACCAACTTTCCATATTTTTCCCAACACAAAGAAGCACTGATTTTCAAAGATTTCGAGACTGCACTAAATGGACTAGATTACTAAACCACACGAGCATACGGCATCCACAATAACAGATCATTTATCAAATTATCAAAATAGAAGCCTAAAAATGTCACAAGAGAGATGACCACCCCATGCAAATGAGAAGCCCCAGACAAGATGTCTTCTGTTTTTTGCTTCAAAGAGAAGAACAATAAAACAGGAAGATGCTCTGTACTTTAGAAGCTGTCATTGCATTTATTAACTTTTGAGGTGCTCCTCTTGAAAGTACACAGCCCAGAGTCTTTTAGTTCACAGCCCGCGGCTATCAATCAGACATCTTCAACTAAGGATAACAATATCCATTGTCATCATATACATACATACACATGCACTTCCGCTCATGCAAAAAGGGACTATACTCAGAAAGCCTACAAAGGTTCAACTTCTCAAACATCATAATGCAGAGCAGGGAATTCAAGTCAGAATAATTTTATGGAGACAAAACACAAAACAGGCCATGAAACCCACAGCTATTGATAAATGCCGTACACTTAATGTCTAAAATAAAATTAATTATGTGAAACAGTAGCATGAAAGCTTCCGTAAACAATAATAAACATTAAGTTAGGCTTAAAATTAGGTCCAATACTACGCATGAAATACCTTAATTGGCTCAGGTAACATAGGTACAATAACCTCCATATAAGAAACAGTTCAAGAAATATTATAAGGGGAAAGGGTAAATAAACAGCAAATCTGTAGGCATTGTTATCAGTCAGTTCATTTTAGCAATCATAATTATGCCAATCAACTGACTGGACTTTCTCCTTCAATACTTACTTGTGCTCCAAGTTCTAACTTGCATGAAAGCAGCTTTAATGTCCTAGAGTTGTTTGCCAGCAAAACTAAGGTAACGATTCTCTTTAGGTGTGAAATCTAACTTCTATTATTTCTCCTTAACCAACTTTTAACAATTGGTCTGAGGTTTTAACTGTCAACCACCCAAGCAGCCCCAAACACACTAGGAGTCAAATTTCTCATCTAATCATGCGGCTCACAATGGTGGTAAAATAAACTTGCCCATCTTGATGGCATACTAAACTGTTTTTAACCTGGTAACATGACCAGCAGGATCATGACAGGCAAATCAAGACAGCAATTTAACAAATCTGAAATGAACGAACAATACCACCTAACAAAACTAGTGCTTAACCAGCGGTCAAGAAAACAAATCAGGAAAAAGAAAGTTTAAAGAAGGTAAACAAATTTAAATTAAATAAAAAGGCTTCCAAGGCATGAACCTGAGATTGTGTTGCATTAGCAGCAGCAGAATTTCCTGCTGAGCTTGGGCCTGGAAGATCTCTCCGGGATCCAACAACACGACCCATCTGTTGCCTAGAACTAAACATGTCAACCAGGGACTCGGAGGTTGACACGGTTCCTATAGATGACAAATCAATCTTAAATGCTTCTGACAAACACTCCTTAGCAACCTCAAGTCCTTCTTCATCAACACCAGATGCAGGCTCAACTGTACATGGATCATAGTAAATAAACTAAGAGATCAACAAATTTATCCGACCAAGATAGCCTCAAGAAGAATCAGAAAAACAAAAAAGCTATGAAAATCCTTATACCAACATTCAGCTAACGAAAAGAGACAGAGACAGAAGAAACATCTCAAACACAATAAATAATTCACTCTCATTTATGCCATAAGAAAAACAAGATTCTCACCATAACAACGTAGTCTTTCATTTTCATTTCACAACAATTTTTTTCCTTCGGAAATAATTAGGTAACATGCACATTCAGCTCTATTTAGTGGCATAACCCGATGAAATCATATAATCACAAAAATTCATCCATAATTGCTATCCACGATTAATAAAAGCATTGATCAATGTTTGATTCAAAAACTCAATTTACATAATTTTAAGAATTCCGTTTCCAATATCACCACCAATTCATAGCCAATGCTAAGAAATATGTATTACCCTCACTTCACTAAACTTCTAAGTTCTTAAGTTCAGAAAACCATGCCCAGGGGAATTCTTCAAACGAGGTCAGCAGCAGCAGCAGCAACAAGCGCAGGTGGAAAAAACGGAATTCGAAGGATTCGAGAAAAGAAGAACTAAAGTTTCGATTGCAGAGAAGCTAGTAAAACGCCAACTGGCAAATTTTCAAGCAGTGAGATCATGAAATCGCAAAACCACTGAAAGAGTAATTCCTGAAGGGGTTTAGGAGAGAGAGTGAGCTGACATTACCGGAGTTGAGGAAGTGGAGGATAGAGTTGGCAATTCGACGAGCCAGCGGAGAATCCGTCTTCAGCTTCGCCATGGTCAGCGGAGCGGTGGAAGTACTAGATTTTGTGAATATATATTTCACAGTCGTATTTATAATTTGGGAATGGGGACAACTCCGCTTTGGACGTTACGGGAGTTTTAAATTCTAAAATCGGATGAAAACTGTGAGTCATTACATCGTACGCCCCACTTCACAGTTTTAGGTGGACTAGTTTTTAAATTGCACGCACTTGTTTCAAATTTACTGCCTCCATTTCAATTTGTAGGTGGTTTTAGGTTTGAAAATATTTTTTAAAATATAGGTATTTTACAAATTTTAGGCATATTATTTTTCCAACTTTACCCTCAATAAATGATGCTAATCTATTTTTATTTAGTCTTGTTTATAGTTCCAATATAATTAATGAGGGATAAAATAGATATTTAACACTTAAATTAATTATTGGATGATTGTCTAGTTTACGTGTCAAGTCTAAAAAGACTTACATGTTCATGAAATTTATGATAGATTTTGACACAATTTTAATAAGTTTTAAAAATCCATGACCATAATAAACAATATTCATGGAATTTATAGAAATACTAACCTCATTAATAAAATTAAAAATTCATAACTATAACAAACAATGTTCATTTATATTATCAAACGATTCATATTCTCCGTATGCCATGTCGATATGAAGTCTAACTTTTCATGAAAGAAAGAAAAAAATACATTCTATAGAGGGCAATTACGTTGTTCATAAGGACAAGGTTATGAATTCATAGAAAAATATTTCACATTGGCTATTTAAGATACAAATATTCATGAATTAAAACATAACCTGTTAATGTGGAATAAAAGTTGGAAATTTCACAAGTTCATAGTATATAATTTTATTGTTCATAAATACTTAACTATTAATTCATGATATTATATTATAATGTTCAATTAAAACATAAACGCAAAACATACCAGTGACTCACATGTTCATGGTATAATTCATGAATGTAGATAAGTGTTGAAAAAAAAACAGAATGTAGATAACTATATTCATAATTTTATGAAGAATTGCTCATTAACAAATAAGTACATTACCCAATTCATGTTGAGGAGGTTCATCTTCATGAATCGATGTTAATTGAAGTTATATGAACAATTCATCATCTTCCATGCGTATCAACTGGAGTTGTATCAAATCATCCTCATCATTATCTCGTTCAATCCATGTTCGAACCATCATCATTGGCTCTGTCATGAGCTCCGTCATGAGCTTCGTTCCCACAATTCTACTGCCATCTGCTTGGTAACCTTCTATTAGATTATCGTTTATCAGGACAATGGAGTTGTAAAGGATTTTGATTCAAATCAAAATTCATGCTACAATTCATATATTTTGTAGGATGAAGAAAGATATCTTACATTTAATCATCATTTTTTTTACATTAATTTATAGACGAGAAATTTACTAAATAGTAAGTAAGCGATTTTCAGTTTATAATTGATAGACACGATATATTTGGTGATAAGATATTAGAGAGAAAGTAGGAGAAAATATTATTTATAAAACTGCGCGTTGTATTTGTTATGAAAAGTTAATTGAAACTCAATCTTTTTTTAAGCGTATTGTACAAATCCCAAAACAAGTTCACCATCTATGGTGAACTCTAGTTTATGTTATAAATTGGCGAAAATTTCTATTATTCCTATTAAGGGCAAAAACTTTTGTTTTTAATGTTTTACACTTGCTCTTTTTAAACTGGCCCAAGTATCTCAATCCGAGCAGGCCTAAACTGAAGGAGTTGGGTATGCCCCTGGAATAATGGGAATATATGCATATGTATATATATATTATTACTAATTTAGACTCCATGTTTATCGTAGTTTAAAACGGAATCGTATCAATGGGAGTATTGCACAGTTTATTTCCCAATCCAAACCTAATATGCAGATAATAAAGAGATTTCATAATTTTCTTTACATTTTGCATTTTTGTTTTTCAAAAAAAAAAAAGAATTTGAAAAGAAAAAGAAAAAAACTTTTGATCCCAAAAGCATGTTGTTAAAAAAAAAAAAACAAAATCTTTCTTGGTTTTCTTTCTACTTGAGGTTGGCCGATTGGTTTTCTTGGTTTAGAAGATAAAATCCTATCTTAATATTATTTTTTTGTATCATTTATATTAAATTTTGTGCGTAACTATCATTAGCTGTTGTTCGTGAATGAATCCTAATTTGTGTGTATGGATAAATGAATCCTTAATCTTTTTTCTCTTTAAATAGTTTAGTATTCCGAGGAAGAAGTATAAAGATTAACATGTAGAATTTGGTTGTTGAACTTTATTTTTTTGTTCATTGATTAATTTAATAATTAAATTAGTTGCTGTTTTTTTGTTTATCTTGTAACGAGTAAAATTATTATTTTGTAGATTTATAGATTTATAAATAAAAAATTACCACTAAACGATAATAAAAAAATTATCAATGGACATGATTACAATTCTAAGTTGTTGTATCGTGTTGCTATCCGTAATAAAATTGATATTATATTTTAAAAAAATCTAAAAATTTTATATTAAATGGTTAAATAAGGAAATCTTAAGCTAAATAGGGAAAACTACAGAATAATTAATTACGTCAACATAATTAAGTATAAGTAAATTGGGATCAACGCGGTTAACACGTCTTTCACATGGTTTTAAATCGAGCTAACCCTACTTATAAAAATCATAGCCAGTCTTAATCACTCTTAATCCCGGCAAAATTTCACTTAATTAGTAGATTACCCTTCCTTCATAAGGAACATAGCTATAATAATCCATGTAATAACATCATCTTATCCCAACCACTAGGCTTATTAGCCTGTCATTATAAATGAACTAAAACAAAATAAAATAAATACTTACAAAGATATCCACAAAGGAGCTGAGCTCTTTTTCTTTAAACTTCAAACTTGAAATATATTACAATGGGAGTAGGAGAAGAAACAGAAAGAAAGGAAGACAAGAGGCAAGAAAGAAAACTAAATGGTGTCTTTCTATGACTTATGGTACCCTTATTTATAGCCTATCTTCTAGTACTATTACGGACTTCAAAATTTTATTTTGAGATCCGAATAGTTGCAAACTGTACTATTACATCACACTTGAGTTTTAAGTTGCTTTATTTAAAACAACTTTATCTTTTTCATTATTGTATTATATTATGCTTTCTGACTTTGCTTGAGGATGATGTCCCCTTTTGTCTCCTTTCTCAATTCTTCAACTAGTTTGTTGAGACGTTTTTCTATCATATCATCTTCATTGTCTTCTTCTAGGTCTTGTGATTCTCCATCTAAGTAATCCTTATTTGATGTTGATGTTGTCATTGACACATCTGATCTATCATCTGCCAGATTCCTTTTTAATTCTTGTTTCAATTCTTCAATATAAGCTTTAATCATGTATTCTTTGGAGATATAATCCTTCTGTAATTTTATCTTCATGGATATATGTTGGAAAGGATTAATTTTCCTTGATTCATTCTGTTATTTTTCAGTATAATATTGTTTATTCTTCTGATGAATTTCATCTAGCACATCTTGTCCAAAGAATTGTTTTGTCTCTGGGTCAATTTTCAACATTTTATCCCAGAATTTAGTATAACTAACTCTTTTGAGACATGGCATTCTTTTGTCGGTAGAACCAACTTATGGAACCCATTTTCAAATCTAAGGAATTGAGAATTCTATAAAGAATATCATTGTAGTTATTTCTTCATTACATTTATTAGACGTAATTAATTCTGAAATCTTAGGCGAAACCTTCACCCATTGCCCATATAATGGAGTAAACATGTCAGGAAGTATTTTCTTTGATGGTCCATAAGTGTACCACCATTGAGTAAACCAATTTGGCATAGGATTTTTATAAACATTTTCACATACCTTTATAAACAATGAGTATTAGGATTCTCATATAAAAATACCTTATAAAAGGCATCAATATAATCCCAATAATTATATTTAAAAGAAAGTTAGAGTCTAGAAGTATAAATTCCTTTTCCTTTAATGTTGATAACCCCCATTCTTCAGCAGATATAATCCGCTTAATAATAATCTTACTAAAATTATATATATTACTTGCTCTATTAGAGTAAAAATGTGTTATCTCACATGAATTTGAGGCTTTTAGTATAATCTTATAGTATGACCTTGCTTTATATGAAATAGCAGCCTATGATGCTATATCCAAATATCTTGCTATTAAAATCCATTGGTCTTTTTCCCATTGCAAATCTTTTTCTTCGATAAAGAATATAATATCCTTCTTGCTGTTAGCATGGTAAGAAGTAATATTATCTTCAACCATAACTGTTTCTGCATATGAAGCAGTTGAGGATGATTCTCCATTTTCTTTTCTTTTTTTCCTCATCTTGTTTTTCTTTTTCTACAAACTTCATAAATTTCTTATATAATGAGTCATTTTTCTCAATATTTGCAGATATTAATCTTTTATTTCCAATTTGTGAAAGGATATGACCCTTTCCATAGGAGGTATTACCTCTTCCTCCTCGACCTCTGAAATGGTTATTTCCTCGTGGTATCATCCTGTAAAAATTCACGAGATAAAAAATCAGGGAGATTGTTGTTTTTTCCTTTTTTGTATACAATGTCAAAATCAAAAGGAGCTAAATCAGCTTGCCATCTAGCATATATTTGTTTAGAAACATCATGTTTAAAATCCTTATTAAATATATATTTTGCTGATTGACAATCTGTTTTAACCGTAAATTTCTGATTATATAAATCATCTTGAAATTTCAAAATACGTTTAACTATTGCAAGAATTTCCTTACCAACTGTAGCATAATTCTTCTGACTTTGAGTCAATTTTCCTGATTAATATCTTATCAATTTTTCTTGTTTATCATCAGGACATATTTGTTTTAGTATTCCACCATATCCTATATCTGAAGCATCAGTTTCTAATATTTTATCCAATTTGGGATTTGCCAAAACTAGACATAGTAGTATTTTTACTTTACTTTTTATCTTTTGAACAGCCTTAGTATGCTCCTCTGTCCAAGGCTTTGGATTCTTTTTTAATCTATCATATAAAATAGCAGTATCATATGCTAAATTCTTATAATAAGGTAGAATATAATTCAAACTTCCTAAAAATCTTTGTAATTGAGTTTCTTAAAAAAAATTTCATCTGGGAATTTAGAAGCAAACTCAATACTTCTATCAATAGGAATTATTTTTCCTTTCTCAATATTATGTCCTAAAAATCTAACATTTGTTTGAAACAAAGATATTTTTGATTGAGATATAACAATCCATTCTGTTTTATTAATTTCTAAAATATATTCAAATGATCAACATGCGATTATATATCCTTAGAAAATACTAATATATCATCAATATAGACAATGATAAATTCACTATAAGGAATAAAAATATCATTCATGATTTTTTGAAATTCAGAAGGTGCATTCTTTAATCCAAATGACATCACTTTCCATTCAAAATGACCTACTGGGACATTAAAAGTAGTTTTATGTTGGTCTGACTCATCAATTTGAATTTGTCAATATCCAGATTTTAAGTCAAACTTAGAAAATATCAATGCATCATATAATCTATCCAATAATTTTTTTTTATTAGGAATTGGGTGTCTAATCCATTTTAATACTTTGGTAAGAGGTTTATAATTTATCACTAATCTTGGTCTTCCTCTATCTATCTCACTATGTTTATTGACATAGAAACCAATATATGACCATGGAGAATTTGACTTTTTAATCAATCCTTTTTCTAATAGCATATTCATCTTTTTTTTACATAATTCTAAATATTCAGAATTCATTTGACAAGGTCTTGTCTTTGTCTTAATCATTGTTTTTTCATTAAAATCTTCTTCATGTGGAAGACTAATCACATGCCTTTTCCTATCCCAAAAAGCATTAGGATGTTCATTACAAATCTCAGTAGAGATATTATTATATATTCTCTTAATTTTTTCTTGTAATTTAGGATTTTTTAAATCCTCTTCAATCGAAAATATATTAATTTCAAATTTTAAGAAATTAATCTGATTATTTTTTCTAAAAATAAGATCTTTAAGCTCATTAATGAATCTTGTATTAGGTTCAGTTATAAACTTAAAAAATACAAGTTTTTTATCATATGTTCCTGTGATACTATCAATATCAATATGAGTAATAGGAAATATTCTCTTTATAAAAGGAGTTCTAAGTATAACTTGGCTAGTTAAATTTTTAACTATTAAAAAAACTTTCAGAAATATAAACTTGATTATTACAAATATATCGTTTAGGCAATTTATAATTTATGTCTAATGCCTTCCCACCAGCATGTCTTACTACATGGGTAGTTTTTTCGAAATATCTAGTAGGAATTATTCCGTCTTGTATGACACTAACATCAACACCACTATCAATTAATGCTACTAGTTCTATTTGATAATCATGATCAACCAATAATTTAATAATAACATAAAATTTAAAAGAAGTGATTAAATCTAAAGATCCTAGAAAATTCTCATTTCCTGTTTCACTTATTAATATATTCTTATAAGAATATACATGTTTCTTGTTTTCTAAATTAGAAACTCTACCATCTGAACTCTTATTAAGGTTTTTCAGAATTCTTATTTCTTCTTTGAGATTATTAATCTCTTTTCCTAAATCACTTACCGTAGTAGGAGATTTTTCTATCTTATTAGATTTTTCTTTGAGCATTTTATATACTTTATCCATTGTATATGAATTATTATCTATTTCTAATGATTCATCTTTACTACTACTTGGAATATCACCAACTTGTTCAATTATCCTTGATCTTAACTCTTGATCTTTTATTGATCTCAAGAATTCCAGAATATTATTACTAGTTAAAACACTAATATCTGATTCTCTAAATTGAGATATGATTTTATAAAATTCTTCATTTTCATCATAAATTTCTTTTACACAACTATTAGTTCCCTTACAAGGATCACAACACTCAATTTCATCTTCTGAACTTTCTGATGTATGACTTAATTGATCTATTTCAGCCTCATCTGAGCTTTCTGATTCAGATTCTGAATTTAAAAAATTAATTAATTCATTTTTAATTTCCTAGCTAATATCTAAACTGTTTATTTTTTTCTTCATTTTGCATCTATTTGTAAAATGTCCTGGCTGTTTACATTTGTAACAAATTATATTAGTTCTATCTTTCTTATTCTCAAGTCTTTTCATTTTCTTCATTGCTCTTTTATTTAATTTTTCTTGAGAATATTTCTCTTCTTTTTCTTATAATATTTATCATCTTTTTTTAAAATTTTTTTTTATCATTCTTTTTTCTAATGGAATTTCCATCCCAAATTCACTACAAAACTGACATAATTGTTTTCTTTCAGTCAATCTCTGTCTTTTAATCTGTTGATTCAATTTTATCTCATTACATAAGGCTAAACCTTCTTGAATACAAGTTCCTATTAACTTCCCATAAGTATAATCTTCATAAGGAATATTTATCCTATCTTTTCTTAAGACTCTCTTAACTCTTTCAGCGAATAAACTAGATAACTCATCTATAAATTTAGATTTCCAATGAATACTATTACTATCATGTAATTCCATAACTCTATTAAGAAAAGTATTTCTATACCATCTAAAATCAGATAATGTTTTACATCTTAAATTCTTTAATAGAGTACGAATATTTTCACTATTATCAGAAATTCTTCCTGTAAAATATTCGAATATAGTAACAATCAGTGTATAAACTGCATTTTCTACAACCTGAGATCCTTCTTGTTTAACCGTTCTATAATTTTTTTTTTTTTAAATTTTGTAAAGATAAATAATAGTCCCACCAACCTTTTAGTTGGCCAGTAAATCCTGCAACTATCATTTTTGCAATTCCTACATCATTATTATCATTTGTTTTACAAATAGTACTATACATTAACATTCTATGAGCCATATTATAAATTTGCTTTTCAGTATAACCATCTATATTCCATTCATAAATATATTTTCTACTGTAACTATTATTCAGTATGTATTTCTGCTCTTCATGTAAGATATCTGCAGGAGAAGGTCTATTATAATAATATAATCTTTGAGTAGGCTTATTAGCATATTTATTCAATTTATCAATCTCATCATCTACTATAGTTTTATAATCCTTATTGCCTTCTAATTTTCCTGAGAATTCTTCTTCTAAAGTATTGATTTTTAAATTTTTAAATTTAGTATCTAGTAGTTTCTCTAATTCTGATAAGGATTTTAATTTAAAATCTTTTATTTCAGGTGGTGGTTGAAGAGTTGATGCTGCAACAACATCTACTCTATTGCTAGAATAAATTACATTTATTTACACTCGCCATAAAACACCTACATTTCTTGTTTACTCGATTAACGAATATGTTAACCTAACCCCAATTGAAGTAAAAACAAATATCACTACCTCCAACAACAAAACATCATATTGTATGACCATACCTTAATGTTGATCCATTTGATCAATACTCAGCTTAAGCACGTTAGATATCATTGTTCGGAAAACTCGTTTGGGTTTTACTTACCTAGCTATATTTGGGTATTATTGATTTGACAGTTTTATCCGATTTGTGAAATCACTTAAGGTTTGAGAAAGAGTCTTAAAGTAATCAAATAAGAATCCTTCCCTCGTCCCATATTAGAGACAAACACCCATATTCCTAACTGACGTATAAATTCCATATAGTACTCCACTTGTTATTAATTAGTTTTGAGGTGAAAACATATGCGAGGTTACGAGAATTGAATGATAGCTTAGTGGTTAGGTTGTTGTATTTCCTGGTAATTGACCAGTGTTCGATTCTCACCAGGGGTTGTAAGGGAGGGTTTTACCCACATTTAAGTAGAGTCCACTGGGATGGATTTTATTTTTTTGAAAAAAACATATGTGAGGTTACATCACACTCAAAAGAGAGTAACAAACTCACCAATATTCCAATTCATCTACCAAAGGGTTGGTTATTTTGTGTAATTCTGAATTATAGAAAGGCAACATTTTTTTTTTGTGGAAAGTGAAGCATTGCCATAATTTAATTCTAATTAAACAAATAGATGCAAAGTCAACCAGCCATTTTAATGCTACTATCATAATTGGTCTTTTAGTTGATCTCGATGTCAATGCTTCTTCACCCATTTTCCCCCTTCAGTGTTCCCGAATAAGAAATCCAACGAATCCTGTCGCACTTAATACATCTGCATAAAAGAAAAAAAAATCAATACTCTCCACAAAAATCTAGTAATACTTTTCCTTTTTCTACTTAAAAATCATGAGTTGGTTTGTATTTATTGTCATAGCAAAACATCCAAAAACAAAAAGCTGCCTCTGCTTAATTTTAATTGGCATTTCTTTTGTCAAAGGGACTTGACGAAGCCCGGATCTGTATCGTCGGTCTAGCGGTGGAACTCAGGTACGATTTTGGTAATCTGTAAGAGAAAATCTCGGGGGTCCCCTGAGGGTAGATACTTCGATGCTTAAGTCAGAAAAATGTTTTAAAATAAAGTGTAATTGCTATTGGGAGCTGTAGATTGCGTACCTCAATTGTAGTATGATTGACCCTATTTATAAGCATGTAATTACCTTATGGATATCCGAATCCTACTAGGTTTCATATTGATAAACCGCCATATGAGAGTCGGTTAGACTGTATTTGGCGGATGGACCGGTTCGATAATCTGAGATAGATATGGACTCCTGAAGTGCCCCTGTCAAGTGTTAGTAACATGGAATAAACAAGACTTGACACAATATACTTCTAACCTAGACTCAGCCCAACGCGACTTGACAAGTCACGACCCAATTTGTACAAAATAGACCTGATGGATTTGTTCGCGGGTCAGAACCCGAACTGAGAAGGTGACCCGATTCAATATCCCGCCGAAACGCTTCGTTAGTGGCACGTTCCCCAAAGGATGGCTTTGCCATCATTAAGTCTCCTTGAACTCCACTAAGAATTGTCAAATCATGGGGGGGGGGGTTACAACTCTTGTTTATACCGAAACATTGTGTCATTTTATCTCTTCTTTTACTTCAAAAACTTCACCTGAAAAAAGACAATTTTGCTGCCCCTGTATTTCTTTCACCACTGTTAGGGAAAGGAGCCTTGCTCTGCCACCGGAAGCATCGACGTTTACTGCTATCGAGGAGAGGTACAATCTTGGGAGGATACAACTCAAAGGGGAAACCCCAGAGACTCGTAGCAGTAAGTTCTTGGAAAACCTCGCTCTTCTATTCCTAGCGTGATTGAATTCATATGGCATTGTGTTGATATCGGCTAGGAACCCAGATTGGATTTCTGTGGTTGATTTCTCGTCCACCATAGATTCCGCTGATGAAGCTAAGGTTGTAGTGGTAAGATATAGGCTCCCCGGAGATCTAGAAGTTAGAGCTCCCATAGGGAATGAGAGGGCTAACACTCCTCCTGAGGGAAAATCACTCTGTATGACCGATTCTTTTATTTAGGGCTTAAATTCCCCCCTTTTTTCCCTTATCCGAGAAGATAGTTCAACACAGTAAGATTCTCCTCGCCCGATTCACCCGAATCTGATTAGGTGTGTTCTCGGATTCGTTAAACTATGTGAGTTGGTGAAGGTAAAATCTGATTAGGTGGGAGGTATTTCTTTAAAGCGTGTGCCCTCGACCAAATTCCAAGATTGGTAAAACGTCAAGATGAATCCCAAATCTAGAGCCGTAAAAATTGTCACTACATTTGGTGGTTCCCCTATGTGGAAACCTAATTACTTGTTTGTGAAAGCTCCTGAAAAATACTGTATTTCCTGGGATTTTCAGGAGTCCAATAGCCTAGCACTTGTAAAAGATGATTGGAGTCAGGTTGATGAAAAAAGGATCGATAAGTACAGGGCTGATGTGAAAGCACTAGAAGAGTACAAAACTTCATTTCCTGGAGTGATGTACAAACTTACGTCCCTACAATCCCCGTCGAGGATAAATAAGGTACTAATCTCTTTTCGTTCTTTTCTGTTTTAGGTTATGTCGTCGAGCAATACTGCATTTGGCCTGCTTGGTGACTCCAAGCTCTTTGATGTTAAAAACTCAGATGATGAAGGATCGAGCACCAAGATCGCCAAGAAGAAGAAGAAGGTGAAGAGACTAATAAAGGCGTCCGAGAACGAGCCAAGAAAGAAAAGCAAGCATGACCATGCTCTCGAGAGGGAAGCCATTCTTGAGAAGAACGAGACAATTCCACCTGTTTCCGAGGGCGCAAAAGGAATCCCCGTACAGTAGATCGAGGAGCGCTTCCCTGTCAAGGAGATGGACCTCAACACTGGCTTAGGGACCAACCTGCAGCCACCGCTCATGGAGAAGAACAAAGAGGTCCTCGAGGAGACTGTAGCATCTCCTGGATCTTCCAATTTAACCGCGGCTGCTGCAATGTACCATTTTAGTGATCCGCCCACGATTGAATGCCCCATCCTCGAGAAGAATGCTGTGGGCATGACTGAAGAGGACAGTCTAAAGCTGGCAAGTCTTTCTTGTTTTCAAGTATTGTCTTGGTCTTGAATTCCTTGTGTTTTATACTTCACTGGAATTGATAACTATGGATTGTAGATGCGTACTGCAATGATAAGCTTCTTACTCCGCTCGAAGAATCTGAGGCAAGATCTTGCCAAGGCCAAAGCTGAGAAGAAGGAGATCGAGCAGGAGAAAACTGCCCAAGGAGCAAACTTGGAGAAGGAGCAGCAAGTTCGTGCTGCCAAGGAACAAGAGCTTGCCTCTTTGCAGGCGAAGTGTAATGAGCTGGAGGTGAAAATGAGAGAATATGGGGATTCCCACGTCTCGAAGACAGACCTTCAGCAATGGCTTGTAACCTTTTGGTTTAGAGTGTTGTCATCTAATGGCATGGCCAATGTCATGATGAAAATTAATGAAATGGCCAAGGAGTTTGGTGGCCATGGCGTAGCAGTTGCATGTCTCGAGAGGTTGGAGAGTGGCTGACCTATTAATGCCAGGTGGTTCAAGCAATTTTTAAAGCCAAATCCTCGGCACACCATGCATGAAGCGATGGTAGAAGGGCTTACACGCCTGAGTGTAGATAAACTTCCGCTGTTGAATACTCTATGCAGTGCTGTCGTGACTATGGGTTCCCCTGAGGAAATTACCTGATTCCAGGGAGATGCCTTGGCGATCCAAGCCGGCCCTCCCGATGACGAGCTAAGAGTTCCTGAGGTGTCAGACAGCAACATTGGCATTGAACTTGCTTCTGATGATGATTTCTCAGAAGAGATGCGCTCTGGGAATGCGGGGACTAAAGAAAAGGAACCCCAAGCTGAGAAGAATGCCGAGGAGACTTTTGAGCCTACTCCAATGCAGGGGCCTGTCGAGGAGACTAATGAGAACCAGCCAGAGAAGACTCCTGACTAGCAAGGCGATGTATGAACTTCTTGTTTGTAATAAAATTCTTTTTGTCTTCTTTGCTTATGTGTAAACATTGCTCAAGTGAGCTCTTGTTAACAATTTCTTTTCGAAGTATTCATGCGATTATCCATTTTTGTCATTCTGTTCAACTCTTTGACTATTTTCATTGAATGTGCTAGGAATCATACTTCAACCATCGAATCTACATGATGATTTTGGATGAGGATCAAGCCAAGAAATTCCCCCTATACTCCATGATTTCTAACCTCTTGAGGAAGAGGGAAGTCATCCATAACATAAGGGTAGTGAAGCAACTCGAGAAGGATATCCTTGATGCAATTCATGCGTACAATGTGCAAATCCATTCTCGACTGATGAATAGCCTTAAAGAGAAGGAGGAAGAAATGCAACGGCGCCTCCATCAGTATGACCTGGATTATCATGATTCCTTGATACTGGAGCAGAATATTGTCGAGGAGGTTGCTCATTTGAAGGAAGAAAACGCCAAGCTGAAAGCTGATAAGGGGATTGCAGTGTCACCATGGTTCCTTGAGAAGCATGACATACTCTCGATAGTCGAGTAGCAAATAAAAGTCAAGACTGATCGTTTCATTGCTGCGACCAACTTACTCAAGAAGTGGGGTTCCTCATAAAACAATCTGCTGTCCTGTAGAATCTACTGGCTGATCACGAAATCCCTTTCCCAGATCTTGATAGGGCAACGGAAGGTGTGGATCCTAAAACCAGGACTTCCGAGGAAGAATTTCTACTAAGAATGAATGAGCAAGATCTAGAAATCCTCGACTTGAAGGATAAGTTAAACCAGTGTATAAATAAGTTGAAGATTCTTGGATTCTCAGGCGTTCTTATGCCTTCTCGTTTCAACCCAAGTAAAGAGTACATTGTAGTTTAGGAGAAGATAGATGTATCTTTCCTTTGTATTTGCCTAATCCTGCACAATGTGTGAGGACAATGAAATTGTTCGAGCCTTGAAGGCGTCGCATTATTTTAAACTCGAGTAGTGATCTATATAGCGCTCTTATGTGGCCGGATGTAAAGTACATGGCTCTTTCGAGGGAACTGGATATTAGTTCCTCGATGTTATAATACCGTGATCTGCGGTAAGTGATAAGGCTTAAATTGTTACATAAAAGCATCACACTTAACTTTGTAGTTGATGAACAATTGGAGGTATTTCCTAACATTGGTGCAATTTACTTAGCTCATTTTTACATTATTGTTAGGAAAGGACCGGACTGAATAATTGCTGAAAATTGGAAGCCAAAGGAGCAAATTATGGACTGCTGAGGCAAGGGTGCTGAGCTGGACGAAGAAGGAGGGTCTTAGACAAGAAGCATCTTGTCATTAAATGCCTTGCTTCCTCCTAGAGCATGCTGTCCCCCAGCCGCAATCCCAGCCACCACTGCTGATCAATGAGAGCAAAGCGGCTACTGCTGGAAGAGAGAAAAGGAACGGCCAAGTGGATTGCAGGCTCAAGACATTGGAAGAATTAAACAACTCCAAGCATGGGGAGGTTCTCATGATGAAGATACCGGTTGCAAGGCACTATAAAAGGAGGAAGCTGCACCCTCACAAGGGGGATCTATCTATCCATCAGCCTCTGGTTAGCTTCTTAGTTGCAAAAACACTCAGAAAAACTCCAGGTAGAAGACAAGAAAGAAGAAGAAGCAGCAATAACTCAGTGAGGAAGCCAAGTTGAAGAGTAGCAACCCAGTTTCTTCTTCAGTTCCACAAGTGAACCCTTTCACTCCCAGGAGTGACTCAGAAACTGCACAAGCTTCCTTCTCATCTCTTGACTGTTAACTTGAACCTTGTTTATTATGCATACTTCTATGATGTCTTTCGATGTCGTAGCTGTAGCATTTATCCGTATGAGTAGCTAAACAGTTTCGAGGGGTTATTCTCCTCAACTGATGTTGTAGTTGTCAAAGCACTGGTTTTGTTCATTGTTTTATGGTTGAAAGTTTTTCTACATTCATTTACTTGATCACTAAATTGAATGCATGCTAGAACTAAGGGAGATCTGGAAGGATAAACTTGGTTTGGATTGTTTCAACTTTAACTTATGACATAGAGGTAACAGTCTATGGTTTTAACTAAGATAGGAATATACTTAGTTAACATAAGCATTCTTGAAGGCCTAAGTACTTAATGACTTTGTTGCTGGAATCAATCATTGGAAAATAGGTTGTTAAGGTTGCAAAGATGACTCTAGGAAAAATGAGAACTGACTTAGAGTTATAAGTGAGCTGAATGAACAAGAACTCAACCATTACAGTACTAATAAAACAACTACAACAGCAGGAAGAGGAGAAGAACACCCCTGGCCCCCATTCCCCTGAGTGACTGTTTTCATTCTCCTGAGTGACACCTTGTTGACTGACAGTTTTTCTTTACAACAAATTTGGTAATTAGCTGTCCTCGTGGGATCGACCTAGCTTCCATTATCTACAAAACCCATAATCCAAGCTAGTAATATTTATCTTATTTTTTTTTGATGAACTCGGCAAGCACCAGAAAGTGGCGCCGTTGCCGGGGACGGCGTAAAACCTCCAAAAATTTATTGTTTTTGTTTGTGTATACATATATAAAATTCTTCTCTGGTTATCTCACTAAGCTTCCAGTTTCTTTTCTTTGGTGTATGACTAGAAGGCACCAACGAAGTGAACCTGTTTTTGACCCAGAAATTGAAGCTACCATCCGTAGGACCAGAGCGGCAAGAAGAAGGCAGAACCGGTTGCAACAGGACAACCAAGAAGGTTCATCTGAAATGGCTAACCAAGGTGGCAATCCGGAGAACAATAGGAACCCTGGTGGGGATCAACAAAACCGACCAGAAAGACTGCTTAGAGATTTCTTCATCCCACAGCAAGAAGAAGTCCAATCTCCTCTAGTGTTCCCTGATGTAGAAGCAACCAATTTTGAACTCAAGCCACAGATGATCCAATGGACTCAATCAGCCTGCCCATTCCATGGATTACCTCACGAAGATCCTAATGATCACATCCGAAGTTTTCTGCGTTTATGCAGTACTTTTAAAATTCAAGGCTTATCTAATGATGACATTAGACTGAGACTATTCCCTTTTACATTGCAGGATCAAGCCCAAGCATGGTTTAACACATTACCCAACAACTCCATTTCCACTTGGGAAGAGTTAAGGCAGTGTTTCCTAACAAAATTCTTTCCACCTGCAAAAGCTGCACAACTCAAAACAGCAATAATGAACTTCAAGCAGCATGGAACAGAAACACTTTATGAAGCATGGGAAAGATTGAAAGAAATGGTCGAAAATGCCCTCGCATGGTTTGGAAGAACATCTTCAATCGAGCATCTTCTACAATGGTCTGCTACCAACTACAAGAGATTCCCTTGATGTGCAGCTTGGTGGTGTATTTATGATGAAGCCGCTTGATGCAGCAAGGCGCTTGCTCGACAATATGACCACCAACCATTCAAGATGGCAATCGATCCAAGGGCAATTTCAAAACAGCCGGGGATGATGGAACTTGATCCCAGACATATCTGCAAGCTCAAATGGTCATTATGATGAACGAAATGACTAAGCTCGGAGTGAGTGTCCAAATCCAAGGCGTAAGTATGTGTATTATGTGATGGATCCCACAGTTTGACGATCGCCTTCCAAATGGAAGTCATCCAGTTTGTCGACAGGCAATGCAGGGGGATTGAACAACTTTAACAATTGGAGAAATCAGCAGCAGACCAACTGGAACAATGCTCCACAACAAGGAAATTATCAAAGGCCTGCTCAACCCCCAGGATTCCACAGACAAGATGGTCAGCTTCCCAACTATCAGAATCAGCAATGTTCTAACCAACAATACATCCCAAGGGAAGATGAATGGATTTCTGTACAAAATGCAATCAAGAGTTTGGCGGTGTCTTGCAAAACTTTGGAAAATCAGTTGGCCCAGATTGCAAAACAAAATGCTGAAAGACCATCTGGGAGCCTGCCCAGTGACACAATTGTGAACCCCAAGGGGAGTGACCAAGAGCAAGCAAAGGCTGTCACTCTCCGAAGTGGAAAGCAACTCAATCAGCCAAGTAAATAAGTCACTCCTGCGAGTGACCCTGCAGGTAAGAATGAAACTTCTTCTGAGCAAATATCTGATAATGATGATATGGGTGAACAGGAGCAACCCGCTGAAAAACCTGGAATGGAGGAAATTCAATTTCCAGCACCAACTAAGGAACCACAACCGCCAGCTCCAACGCCACCATATCCAGTAAGGCAGAAGAAAGCAAAAATAGATGAAGGACTCAACAGGTTTATTCAGAATTTAGAAAGTATACATATTAATGTACCGCTTGTTGATGCACTTAAACAAATGCCCAAATACTTCAAGTACTTGAAGGATTTAGTGGCGAATAAGCCACAAATGCATAACTCTGCTTTTGTCACTTTAAATGAAGAATGTAGTGCAGCTATCCTGAGAAAATTACCACCTAAACTAAAAGATCCGGGTAGTTTCACTCTTCCTTGCACTGTAGGAATCAGAGAATTTTCAAAAGCATTACTAGATCTTGGTGCAAGCATAAATCTCATGCCATTATCTGTATTCAAATCCCTTGATCTGGACAAATTTCTGGTACCTACTAACATGACCTTGCAAGCCATGCACGGATCTTTGACTTACCCAAAAGGAATCTTACATGATGTTCTTGTGAAAGTTGGTAACTTTGTTTACCCAGCCGATTTTGTGGTTTTGGACATGGAAGAAGACAGGGATGTGCCCATCATCTTGGGGAGACCTTTTCTGGCAACAAGCGATGCAATCATTAAGGTGAAAAAGGGAGAAATCACACCGCACTTTGATGGGGAGAAGGTCACCTTTAACATCTTCAAAAATATGAGATATCCCGTCAAGTCCACGATCGCTACATGGTAAGAAATGCGAGAAGAGAGGAAGCAGTGACGGAAGAATTACTGCAAGATGATCTCCTCAAGGAACTTTGGTGCCCAGACTATAATGAGGAACAGGAAGGAGGGGATGAGTACAGGGCCACTTGCCTGAGCTACCTGAACCACTCCCCCAAGTGGCATCCTACACAGCAACCCTTTGAACTGATAGAGCTGACCAAGGAAGGGAGATGCCTCAAACCTTCAATTGAAGAACAACCTCATCTCGAACTTAATCCTTTGCCCTCACATTTAAAGTACGCCTATATTGGAGCAAGTAACACCTTACCTGTAATCATTTCTTCTATGCTTATAGGTACTGAAGAGGACAAATTGCTGAGAGTATTGAGATTACACAAAGAAGCCATTGGGTGGTCAATTGCTGACATTAAGGGCATCAGCCCCTCCGTATGCATGCACAAAATCCTGCTTGAAGATGACGCCAAGCCAACCATTGAAGGACAAAGAAGACTCAACCCAGTCATGAAGGAAGTGGTGAAAAAGGAGATTATCAAGCTGCTGGATGCTGGGATTATCTTCCCAATATCTGACAGCAAGTGGGTGAGCCCAGTGCAGTGCGTACCCAAGAAGGGAGGAATCACAGTGATAAAGAATGACCTCCAGGAGCTAATCCCAACAAGG